AGCAGCCAGGAGGAGGTGTGTAGGAAGGTTTTTCTTCTAAGCACCTGACCCCTTGCTTCTCCTCAGCTCAGAGTACAGGAAGACAAGGACAAAATGTCGCAGACTATGATGGAATGCAGCGTGGAGACCATCATCAACATTTTCCATCAGTACTCCACGCGCCTGGGGCACCCAGACCGACTGAACCAGAAAGAATTCAGCCAGATGGTGAAGAAGGAGCTGCCTAATTTCCTCAAGGTAGGGCTGGACTCCTGGCCACTATGTGCCGAGAGGAAGAGAAAAGCTGGGGGAGAGGCGACTAGTTAGGTAGACAAGAAGGTGACATTTGAGCTGAGACCTGAATGTGTGAGAGGAGAGAAGCCCAGGGAGGAGGAGAGACGCTGTGGGGGGAGGAGCCTTGGCAGAAGCCAGGAGACTGAGCCCCAGATGGAGGCGGGAGCCCCGAGGGCACTCTTCTGATATCTGGATCTCCCGTAGGAAACAAACCCAGGGCATGTGCAGAGCCCCACCCAGCACAGCCTGTACACAGCACTCGGGGTGTGTGATGTACTTACTGATCTAAAAGGGATCAGGCAGTCCTCGGGAAAAGGAGGCTTGGTTCCCGCAGACCTGTTCTGTTTCTTTACACTTCTGGGGACTTTGGGGAACAGAGGCCTGGACTAGGAAGGGTGGCGCACCTGGGTACCAGTCTCAGGTCCACTCCTGGAGCGATGTCCTGGGGCAGGTGGCCAGCCCAACCTGGAGCCGCGCCCCCTCCCACCCCCCGGTGGGGTGGAGGGTTGCCACAGTAGGAGATATTAGGGATGCTGACAGGTCCCCATAGTGAGGACCTCAGCAAGCAGGACGCTGGGTCAGGCTAGACCGCAGAGGGTGGTGCTGGCGAAGCTTCCTCCGTGTGAGGCCTGTGCCTGCCCTCCCGCCCCACGTCCCGTGTCGGAGGCAGTGACAGGCCAGGAGGGGCAGCTGGGACCTTGCCAATGGGCTGCTACCCATTGGATGGCTGGTCTTCCCCAGGGCAATGGCAAGCGTGCAGAAAGAATAGACGGTGCAGAGGCATAGCAGGAGGGAAGGCCTGGGAGAGGAGCTTGGCTCCCCCAGGTTCTGGAGGGGACTTAGCTGCCATGCCCAGGCCAGCGAGTGGCATAGCTGGGACTCGCTGGAGCTCGCTCTGCCTGGCCTGGATCCTCATCTCCCCGTGCCACCCTCCGCACACGTTATCTCACCCTTGGGTCAACGGAGCACCCACGCTGCTCCCTGTCCTTACACAAGGGCCCGATCATCTTGTTTTCCTCAAGTGCTTCCTGCTACACAGGTTGAAATGAGTGTCACTAATTTGTGACCGTGAGAGGGAAGGGAGAGGCAAGGAAGGGAGGGCCCGGCCGAGTGGACAGGAGCAGAGGGGAGGGGACGAGATGGGCTCTGAGTCAGCCCCGGGTGGTGTGCGGGATAACTGGAAAGTAAATGGCGCCCCGTCAATGGTCATTTTTAATTTGGGGTTGAGGCCCAGAAGCCAGGTTTCCCAGTGCCTTTGCCATCGGGTCTTTAGCTGTGCTGCCTGCCCCTGGTCCTGGCCACCCCCAGCCCTGACCACCCTGTCTCCCAACCTGCAGAAGGAGAAGAGGAATGAAGCACTCATTAGGGACATCCTGGAGGACCTGGACACCAGCGGAGACAAGGACCTGAGCTTCGAGGAGTTCATCACCCTGGTGGGCAGGCTGACAGAGGCCTCCCACGAGGAGATGCACAAGAACACCCCCAAGGGGCACGGCCACGCCCATGGGCCAGGCTTCGGGGGGTCTGGCCGCAACCCCTGCAAAACCCAGGGTGGCAACCAGGGTGGCGGCCACGGCCACAGCCATGATGGCCACGGCCATAGCCATGATGGCCACGGCCACAGCCATGATGGCCACGGCCACAGCCACTAATCAGGAGGCAGGCCACCCTGTCCCTGCCAATCCAGGGCCCCGGGCTGTGTGCACACAGCTGAGGCGGTGGCCCGAGTTGCAGGGCTGGGGTTGAGATGAATAAAGAGTTCCTCCAAGTCAGGGCTCTGTGTGCTCCTTCCACCCGCTCTGCAGCCTGTCCTTCCTGGGGCTCTGGCTTAGACTCCGTGCCCCTTCCCGGGGCTCTGGCTTAGACTCCGTGCCCCTTCCCGGGGCAGAGCCCCTTCATTCAGCCCTTCATTTGCAGTCACAAGAGGAGAAGCCTCAACAACGTGGTCCTGTTCTGAGTCCCTTGCGCTCGCCTCCCTGACCATTTTCTCACCTCTGACCTCAGGCCCTGCTGCTCAGGGCCTCGTCACCCCAGCCCAGCTCAGGACTTCCCTGTGCAACCTGTCAAATGGGCCCTGGCCACCGCAGAAAGCGAAAAAAGGGCACCCCATCTCCTCCACATGCCAGCCGCCACCACACCACCCACCCAGCCACAGCCCCCTTCACCAATGCTGCCCACACTGCCGTCTCTCTGCGGCTGGAACCTGGTGCCTCTGGGAGGTTCAGACAGGCCCTGGACAGGCTGAGTCTGAGGAGAGCCCTAGAGTCTGGGCATTGGAGACAGGGCCAAGTTGGGGGTGTTTGTCTATCAGTGAAGTTCTGAGTCCACGGGAGCAGTTGGTGCCTCTTGAGTGAGGGGTCTCTCCTCTTCCCCGTGGACACTGGAGCAGGTGTGCACGGGGGTGAAAGTCGGGGAGTCCAGCCCATGCCCAGCAGGCCTGTGGGGAGGTTGCACTCTGGGCCCAGCGAGCCTGTCGGGCCTGGTTCCAAGCCTGAGAGCAAACTGAGCTCCCCAAGGAGGCCAGGTTCCTGCAGCCCCAGGTCAGCAGGCACTTCTCTACAAAGCCTGTAGTCGGGCCTGGCTCCCGGCCTCCGCCCTCCGCAGCCTCCAGACCCAACCGCTCACTTCAGAGACATCCCAGTGACTCCTGCCACCAGCCCTGCCCTGTGGCCGGAGAGCGCCAGCCTGTGCCCTTTCCCAGTTCATCTCCAGGCTGGGGTGCGCCCTCCAAAGACCACAGCCCAGACGCAGTTGTCTGCCCTGCCCTGTCCTTCCACAGAGAAAAGACGGACCCCATTGGGGTCGGGGAGGAAGATCCACAGACATCCATCCCCCGAGTTACCATGAAGAAAGCCAGGTGCAGAGTGGGGAGGGACCAGCCCAGACTCCTACGGTGGTGGCGCTGGCCGAGACAGTGCAGAGAGGAAGGGCTGCAACCATCTTCTCCCCGGGCTCATCTCCCAGCTCATCCCCAGCGCTGAGCATGGAGAAAGGAGCTGCGGGTCGGAGGGCAGATGGCAGCTCCCCCACTTGGCCTGGCTGCAGCCGGCCAGGCTGACCCTGCTCTAGGGCCCAGGGGCCTCTGCCATGGGGTGCAGATCTCAGGGCTCCTGCTGCAGGGCAGAGGGTGTTTCCAGCACTGCTCCAGGCTGTGAGCTGGGGGAACCATTTAGAAGCCCCTCCCCCCGCAGCCCCCCTTCCCTCCCCCCTTTCCTTCCCTGCCTGACTTGGAGACATGACAACTGTAGACACTCAGCTACTGAGGGCGCTGCTCAGCCACTCTCCTGCCCATATAGGGGTCACCCCTCTGCCTACAGCTTGGTAGGGGCAAGAGAACCGCCTGGGAGCTGGAGGCCTGGCTTCTATCAGTGGCTTTGCCAGGACTCCATGTTTTGGGTAAAGTAGGGTAGGGTAGGAGAGGGAGCAGGAGAGAGGGGGAGAAGAGGAGCAAGGGAAAGGGGCAGGGGCTGGGAGGGGAGGGGAATGCATAAATATGTCTGTGACTGCCTCCCACTAGACCCGTGGTTGGCTTGCCGAGCCGCCGTTTGCCGACCACTGCACTAGACTGTGAACTCCAAGTTGGTGCCATCTGGCTTATTCTCTGTTTTTTCCCCAGCACCTGGGGTGATGGCTGGTACATAGCAGCTTCTCAACCAATGTTGACTGTACAAATGTCCTCAGATTTCTGGAATGTTCCATGCTCTCTCCTCCGGGAAGGGTGTGGAGAAAGGGGGGTTGGATTGAATTCACAGATGGAAGATTTCTGGGTGTCATCGGGCAGGTAGGGGCAGCAGGGTGGTAGGGCCTGCAGCCCCCTCCCAGCTGTGTTCCATCTCACCAGCCTGCATCTACTGCACACTACAAGTTCTGTTTGAAGGAAGGGATTTGTCTGGAGAAAAAGTTGGCAAATTGTTGATTTAACCCAGCCTGCCCCACCCCACGCTGGAGTGATTCTCCACAACGTGCCTGCCAAGTGGTTGGCAGGGCCCTGCCCGCACCGCTCCAGGGAAGGGAGTTCCCTCTTGGCACTGCCACTTAGAAAGTCTGTTCTTACACTAAGCCTGAACCTGTCTCCTGGTGCCCGCTGGGCATGAACGCCACTTTCCCTCCCCATCCACGGGGCACAGAAAAACCCTCACCCTTCCATCTACGCAGCCGCCCGTCCACGTCTTCAAAACACTTCCCTTCCTGGCACCCAGGCTTTCTCTGGCCTCCACCCCTTTGCACCAAGAATGCCCTCCACACCCTGGGGTCTCTGCGTCACTGTCTCCATGACGACTTCCCTGACCAGCCCCCTTCCTCGAGCATATAGAGCAGCGGGTCTCAAACTAGGCCCCCGGGCCAAATGCAAATACAAATATTGTATTTGTTCCCGTTTTGTTTTTTAACTTCAAAATAAGATATGTGCAGTGTGCACAGGAATTTGTTCATAGTTTTTTTTTAAACTATAGTCTGGCCCTCCAACGGTCTGAGGGACAGGGAACTGGCCCCCTGTTTAAAAAGTTTGAGGACCCCTGATATAGAGGCTCCCTCGGCCAGGCCCATGCAACTCTCTGATACTTCTACCCCTGCACTTCTAATATGGAATTGGAGCCCCTGAAGGCAAGGACTATGGCTGATTGGCAGCATACATAGCCCAGGTGCCAGGAGGGAGCAAGCTGGGTGAGCCTTACTGAGTGAAGGTGGGTGGTCCTAGGCCTGATGGAGCTGGAGGGGGAGGTGGGGACAGCTTTGGGCATTAGGGGCACGCGCACGTGGGACCTAAAGGCTGGGAGAGAGTGGAACAGCAGGATGGCAGGGGACTGAGCTTCTGGAAGCTGAGTTCTCCCTTTGCCTCAGTGCTCTGCTAGCTCATTCTGAGAGTAGGAGATTGTTCTAGAATCTAGACCCAGGGGAAGGCCTGGCGCAGCAAGCCCCTTTACACAGCCCCATGGGGTTTTCCTTAAGAGAGCTGCTCACGGTGCGTGAGCCCCTTCCATCCTGTGAGCCCCTCCCATTCCAAGAAAACTGTTTCTGTTGCTTAGAGGAGAGCTGGCCTCTTCCCTGAGACAGGGAGCAAGAGTGTCAGGGTCACGGTTAAGTAAGGTTCCACCCAGGTGAGAACGGGTGGCTGCCCCTAGGGTTTTTAATGCATCCTTTGGGAAATAAGAACTTTGGGGTCTCCCTGGCATCACAGTTTCTGAGGAACAGAGAACCTGTCATCAGAGGGCCCTGCTTCCCTTCGCTGTGGAACCTGAACTTCTGGATGGCTTTGGGGAGGGATGAGGAAGCAACAGTCGCAGCCTAAGCTGCAGGACTCTGCCCAGACACTCCGAGGCCTGGGCGATGCTCCCGGAACTAGGGGACAGATGACTGAGCACATCACTTACTTGTTGGTCCACTCATTCACTCACTCAATAGGACTAATCGCGCTCACTGTATGTCAGGCGCTAGAATGCTCAGACGGGCCCCAGGGTGAATAAGGCTTGTCCTGTTGTTAAGACACTCCCAGGCCTGCAGGACAGCAACTCAAACAAGTCTGACACAGAAGAGGAAAGACCAGGGAGGCGAAAACTTCCCTAAGACTTTGAGGTGGGAAGGCTGTCCTTCATCCGGGCTGTAGTGGTGGAAGGCAACAATTAGAGTAGCTTCAAGCGTGGGGGCAGCAGGCGTCCCCCCTCAAAATCAGGCAGGTGCTTGAGACAGAGAACATGTGTGCATGGGCCTGAAAGTGGGCAGAGGTGGGGTCTGGGCAGGAATGAGGAGCCTCGGGTTCGAGAGGAAGAGGGAGAGAGAGGAAAGTGGGCCGATGCTAGGCCACAGCAGGAGAAGGAGGGCAGGAGCAGTGGGGGTTTGGGGGGGGGGCTTGGAGGGGAGAATGACATTATTGGTGTTTAGAAGAGTCTCCCTGTGGGGTGTGGATTTGGGGTGGGAATGAGACCAACAGCACAAGGCCCAGGCGGGGGCTGCACCATCATCCAGGGGGCACTTCTCAGAGAAGATGGATTCAGCCGGGGTCTCCAATACCCCAGGCCCATCCCAACTAGGGGTCCACGCCCCACAACCCCCCGAGGATAAAGAAGATCATTTTGTGCTGTTTCCCAAGACCTTGCCCCAGCTTTCGCCAGCCCGGTGAGGTAATCTTACACAACCCTGACTCTGAAACAAACTCCAGAAAGCAACCTCAGGGTCCTGCCCTGCCTCCCAGCTGTTGCTGAAAACTTACATTTTCAGAAAGCCCATGTCATGGATTTTGACATGCCAGTGGCCAAAGTGACAACAGGACTGACACAACTGGTTGCTCAAGTTCTGTTGCCTCTTGGGGTTCAGGCCTGAAACAATCCCTCCACCCCAAGTCTTCCGTCAGATCCTGGGCCAGATTGAACCTGTCTCCCTCTCCCCACCCCACCCCCTTGCCCTCGGAGCATCACAGAGCCCTTCCATCCACAGGAGACTGGAGAAGTGGGCACCCACCAGAAAGGCCTCTGGCTCTGTGAGGAGGAGGGATGATTGATATGATTGACAACTGGAGGAGGGATGGGGACCAGTCTGAAGGCTGCTGTGGGACTAACTGAGCCTTAACTCTGCATCCTCAAGGGGCAACAGACAGCCAAGTAGATACGTTCAATATTATGTTGTGGGAAACAGAAAAACGAAGGTGGGTGATGAGCAGACACCCTGGGAGCACAGAGCAGGTGTTTCTGATGCCTTCTTGGCTGGGCTGCAGGCGGGGGGCACACAGGGGAGGGTGAGGGAGCTTCCTCGGGTTCATGCCCAGGTGAGATTTGCA